TTTTTGCGGTACGCGGGCCTCTCACTGTTGTGGCCTCTCCTGTTGCGGAGCACAGGCTCCGGACGCACAGTCTCAGCGGCCATGACTTACGGGCCTAGCCACTCCGTGGCATGTGGGATCTTCCCAGACTGCGGCACGAACCCGTGTCCCCTGCATCAGCAGGCGGACTCTCAACCACTGCGCCACCAGGGAAGCCCATATGAGTATACACTTTTGAAATATGTAAATATTTGGCATCCCGTTGAGCTCAAGAGAAGCCGCCTTTGTATCTTCTTTACTCCTGATGAGATGCCACCTTTGGGATATCAGTCTTCATAACTTGACACGTTGACCAACTGCAATACGTCAGGCGCTGTGCTGAGGCCATGAGAACCATGGCCTCATTCAATCACACCACAGATTCTCATCTCGTCCCATTTTATAGGCAGTGAAACTGAGGCTGAGTGGTGTTCCCCTCTTGATGAGAATATGGAAAACCGGCTGTGAACCCAGCACACCAGCTACAAAAGGTAGGTGCTTAGTAGCTGAGCTAATTTTCCTCTTATCCAGACAGGCACTTTAATTATTTTTCTGAGAAATCTGAGGTCACTGACAATGGCCAACGTGAAGTAGAGACTTCATGCACTTCTGTGGTCATCAGAGAAAGTTGGGAAGAGGATGAGGAAATGGAAAGGTGGCCATAGACAGTGTCCCAGTTTCTACCCTGACCGAGGTGGCTGTGACCTGGACTCCACCCTACTAGACAGGGAGCTTTTCTAGAGCAAGAAAAGGCCTATATCAGTCAAGGTTCACCTAACAGGGGCTCAGATTAATTCTCTGCAGGTCAAAAGAGTTAAAGAACAGGGACTTACAAATTAGAATCATTGAAATCACAAAGGTAGCTATGTATAATTCAGAGCAATAGACATATGTACTGTACTTAAGATATCAAGTTGAAAGTGGAAAGAAAAGAAGACCCCAGCCCCAGAGCAGTCTTGAAAATGCAAAGGACATGCACACTGAGTAACATTAATGGAAAAAAACCTAGAGCATTAGGAGTCTGGCCAGATACTCGAACAGGTGACGTGGACATAATTTAGGGAGCAGAGTGCCATGTAATGCTGAAAATTCATGCAAGGCAAAGGCTAGGGGAACTGACACGATGCATGACATGAAAAACTGAAGAGAACGTAGCAATTTCCATAAAGCAAGTCCTGGGAATACTTAAATGGCCGGTCGGGAAGCCTTCTCTCTGGATGAGAACGTCACAGAGAGGGCAACCAAATGGTCTCCTATTTAACTGCAATGGGGACTAATTGGAGTAGCCCAGAGAAAGGGACAGAGGCAGGTCATTGCCTTGAGTTAGAGTTCAAAAGGCCAAGGGGGCTTCCCTGGTGGCGCAGTGGTTGAGAGTCCGCCTGCCAATGCGGGGGGACGCGGGTTCGTGCCCCAGTGCGGGAGGATCCCACATGCCGCGGAGCGGCTGGGCCCGTGAGCCATGGCTGCTGTGCCTGCGCGTCCGGAGCCTGTGCTCCGCAACGGGAGAGGCCGCAACAGTGAGAGGCCCGCGCACTGCAAAAAAAAAAAAAAAAAAAAAAAAAAGGCCAGCAGGTGCAAATGTGCTCTTTACTTAACTTAAGGAAATGTTCCAGAAGCAATGTGTACTGTTCAGTCTTTCTGAGAGGAAGCAAATCTTGCTATTTCAGCCCTTTTCTAAGCTGAAGCTTTAGAGCCCACTAAGAAAGAGGTAATATCCCTGTCAAATTTCACAGAAAGGCTCCCCCTTTCCTTTGGAATGGAGTCCCAACCATGGGGGCCAGTATCTTTAGAGAAGAAACAGCAGACGCTACAGAGCATGAATGCCCACGTGAACTCCGTGGAACCCTCTAGAGCAGAGTGGTGGGTTTTATGGGTAGATTAAAAGCAGGTATTTATGGAAGCTGTATTTGAAACCAATCGTACACTAGAAACAGAAGTGGGGGAGAGCTGTGAAAAGAAACTTATCCTGCAGGGCTCAGAATAAAATTACTATTCTATGCTTTGTCGTTGATTTATTGGAAATGCATTTAGAAGTCCTAGGAAGCTTTCATGTCAGACAGTGGGTGGGCTGGCAGGTAGGCTGGTGGTGATTGTGCAGAATTCCTCCTGGAATCTGAGCCTGCGGACGGGGTTCCAGCCCCAGTGGCTGAGTAAAAATGAGTAAATAAGTAAAAATAAGACATATTCCTTGTGACTTCAAAGCAATGCAAAATAGGGACAGAGAAATCAGGAGGCAGTGGAAGAAAATTTAAAAATCAGGTCATGGAAAGAAAGCCTCATAAACAAAAAATGCGAACTTCATTAGTAATCAAAGATGAAAACGGTATATCATCATTTGCCTGCCAAAATAGCAGAGGAGTATTTAAGTGATGACAATGTTAGCACGGGCGCAGGGGATGAGCACTCTTAGACGCCACTGGCGGGAGCATAAATTGCTGTAACCTTTTTAAAAAGTGATTTGGCAATAGGTTTGAAAAGTCTTGAGAAAAAAGATACTCATCTCCTCAGGGTAATTCTACTTCTAACAAGCCGCCTAAGGAAGTAATTCAGAATTAGAAATTTTATGCCCAAAGATGTCCATTGCATCACTGAAAACATCTCAGTGTTCAACAGCTAGGAACTGTATAAGTAATATGAGATTTTGTAAGGTTGCAAGATAAAATACAGGATGCCCAGTTCAATGTGAATCTCAGATAAATAAGTATGTCCCAAATTTTGCATTGGAAATTTCACATCAGACATTCATATACTAGGAAGATGATCTGTTGTTTACCTGAAGCAGATTTTTATTTGCTAAATCATGTAACCACACCATAGTTTTCTGATGAAATATTATGCAACCATCAAATACTAATCATGAAAATATGAACTATTTTAATAACATAAAATGCTCAACGATGAAAATCAGACATAGTTATGGTACATATACTTTTCAGCAAAACAAAGAATATAAATATAGCATAGGAAAAAAATTAAAAAGAAAAACAATTAGAAGAAAAGACACCAGACAGTCGTGGGATGGGAGGAGGAGCCCAGAGTACTTTTTTTTTTTGCAGTACGCGGGCCTCTCACTGTTGTGGCCTCTCCTGTTGCGGAGCACAGGCTCCGGACGCGCAGGCTCAGCGGCCATGGCTCATGGGCCCAGCCACTCCGCGGCATGAGGGATCTTCCCGGACCGGGGCACGAACCCGTGTCCCCTGCATCGGCAGGCGGACACTCAACCACTGCCCCACCAGGGCAGCCCCCAGATTACTTTTATAATGGAAAATATATTAGTATTTTATTTTTTATATAAAGTTTTATTGATTGATTGATTTTTGGCTGCATAGGGTCTTTGTTGCTGCACGCGGGCTTCCTCTAGTTGTGGCGAGTGGGAGGCTTCTCCTGTTGCAGCGAGTGGGCTCTAGGCGCACGCTTCAGTAGTTGTGACATGTGGGCTCAGTAGTTGTGGCGCACGGGCTTATTTGCTCCGCGGCACGTGGGATCTTCCCGGACCAGGGTTCAAACCTGTGTCCCCTGCATTGGCAGGTGGATTCTTAACCACTGCGCCACCAGGGAAGTCCCTATATTAGTATTTGAAAAGGTAGTCCTGAGGGAAACAGATGAGATCTCCTCTGTCTTC